ATCAGAAAAGAAAATAAAAAATAAAACTGTAATTAAATCAGTTGGGTTGGATCCTGGAGTCGGGATTCGGATCGGATTTTGGTTTTGGGCCTCCTATACCCTAAATCAGTTATGGGTCAAAACTGTATATCTTGGGTCCAAAGTCCAAACATCGAAGAGGTAGGTGGACCCGAGTGCATTTTTTTGGATCGGTAATCTGCTAACTTTTGATTTGGGCTTTCTTGTCAAGCCTATTAACAATACTAATAACTGTATGTTTGTGTGAACAGAGGAAAGAAAAGGAGAAAAATTGAATCTTTTCATTTCCCTCAATTTCCCTCATTTAAATATATAAATAAATAAATTTTAAAAATTAAAGTTAAAGAAAATTTCTCTTCTCTTCCTTTTCATTCTCCTCAATCTAAATATACTGTAAAACTCTTTTGCAAAACTCAGTCACTTTGCATTGATAAATACTCACTCTCACTCAAATTTGTTATTTAAATTTTACTATTTAATTACTTTTATATAGTATATGGATATCAATTAAAAAATGTTTTAATATATATGAAGTTGTTATATGCAAAATATTTGTTTTTGTGATTCATTTAAAGTGCACCGGTTCAAAACTACATAAAAAATAAATGCAATTTACAGAAATTAATAACCTGAGCTGTCCCTTCTATCGTCCATTTATCCAAGTAAGCATCACAATCATAGGAAAAAAAGAAACACACACACAGAAAAAATGGTATCAATTGATCATTATAATGTTATTAAGAAGACAATGACACATGTTTAATAAGTAGCAAAATGATTTTGGGATAATTTTTTTATCTCATCTTTTTGTATAACTTAATATATCATTTATATGATTAATTCTTTTTATTCATATAAATCTCATAATATTAAATATATTTATTTATTTAATAATATATAAAAATTATATAAAAAAATAATATAAAAAATTTATCTCTATAACATCACCCTAATAAGTATTGGGTAGCATTTAATATTTTTCATAACACACGATCCACTTCTTTCCCATCACATGATTTTTTCTTTTTCTTAGGCAGAAATCTTTCTCTTTCCATGTAAGCTTCAACCGCATTCATCAAATGCCAATTTGTCTCATGCACTTTATTTGTCACCAGCTGACCTTCCATATTTAACGCGTCATCATTTTCATTGCTTCTTTTATTAAATGCCTTCTTTTATTAAATGACTTCTTTTATTACACTACAAGACATGGTAGGTTAAAAATGTGTATCAAATAATTTGATTTATATCAAAATTTAAACGGTTATTTAAAAGATTTATTTATTTTGTATATTAAAAATATAAGTTAAAATATATTAAATATATTTTTTGTTATAAATTTATATTAAAAAAATAAAAATTAATATTTAATTTATCAATTATCTAATTAATTTTATCAAATACTAAAATTAATATCAATTTTTACATTTTTATGTATATTTATAATAAAA